AGGGAGCCAACCCTACCTTAAGACTAGCCATAGATCTGGAGGTACCTCTTCTCTAATGTCTAGAAATTGAACCCCTTGCTAATAGGATCCCCGATCATTCTGAATAGTTTGAGCCAATCTCTGGATAATCAGTGGTGCCACACTCTCTACCTTATGGTAGTCTCTGATAATGTGCTCAAATAACACACAACCATAGTACGCTCTAGAAGCTATATGGCACTCCCACGAGTGCCTCCTACCACATTATCTGTAGGTCAGGGTTATATGGTTATGTCTGAACCGCCTGTGCTTATCACTGATGTTGAAGCTAGCAGCCTCTTATGACCTTATGATCCTTACCCGTAGCTCAGACCTTGTCCAGACCTGTGTGACTAAGAGGAAAAAAGTCTCTCAACCCTCGGGAGTCTCTGGTCGTCTTGACCAATTTGAGATGAACTGACGGTGATTAGGGCTCATCTACCTTGCCCCATAATGCCATTATGTAAAAAGACGCTTCTTCTCAAAACTCGTTCAATCAACTTTGCCTGGAGGGTTAGCTCAGTGAATACCCTAGATGGATCAACAACTAGGTGAGTCAGGATGTCTATATGGAGGCCCTCCCTGAAACTCTTGTAAAGTCCTCCTCAGTGGCTACTAACTCTAGTGCATAGTGCCTCAAGCGCAGGAATTCTCTCTCATAATCATACAAGGAGCGGTCACCCTAGGTTAGGTGTAGAAATCGATCTCTCAAGTCATCGATATGGGTCTCGTCGATGTACTTCACTTGGAACTCTAACTGGAAGAGCTCCTAAGTTGGTTACTCTAGCTCTAACGCCATCTCCATAGTCTCCCACCAATATATCATATCACCCTTCAGTAAGGTGGTGATGCACTCAAGGTTACCCTCGGGGGTAAGATGTAGCTAACGTAAGGTGGGAAGAGTCTAACGGAGCCACTAATCGGTGGCTATTGGGTCATCATCACCAAAACCCAAGAAAATAATAGTCTTGTAGTAGTGGAGCCTCTCAATCGGGGACTCCTAAAGGTTACTAGGGATGGAACTGAAGAAGGGGTGTGGCAGAGGCTCTAAAGATAGCCCTAACTATATGCCTCAACTCCTGCGTGAGGTCTTTGAAAAATGTCACCTCACTTATCCCCACATCCTTGGAGTCGGGAACGAACTCATCGCGTATGTCTCCAACTAGATAGGAATGACTCTCTTCATGGCCCTGTTGACTGTGTTCAGGATCATAAGCTATAACCTAAGATTTTCCAAGAAAGAAGAAGAGTTTATATCGCCATTTCTAGATATTTAACTAAATTTAAAACTCTAGTGGCATGTACTTTATTGACACCTAACAACTATAACCCACAGGTCCAATGAACTACAAAACCTAATGCTCTAATACCATTAAATATACACCCTAATCGATCAATCCCGAAGTTTAGATAATTAGAATGTCACATGGAGCCACCTAAGTGGCTAACCATTTTTTAAAATTATTTGACCAATTTAACATACAAACATGATATGAATACCCAAAGTACAATATGTTTACAAAATATTAGTATTTAGAAATACAGAGGAGCTTCTAACAATAGTCTCCAATATATATAGGTACAAAAATAGAGTTTACAAATCGAATAAATATCTAGGATCTATGACAGTTCATGCCCACTAAATACTCGAGACATGCTCTGGCAGATGATCAAGTCTGGAAATCTTAAATCTGGCGACGTGCTCCTCGAACTGGCACCTAAGAACTTGCGCATGGAAACACATTCCATACACTGAGCTCAAAAGCTTAGTGCCACAGAAATAACCCTCCTATACTACATGCATTCAACATATAAGCATGCTGCAAGTATGGTCATGAACAATTATACACACTAATACATCAATCAAAGTAAGCATCATGGTATAGCTCGGGGTCACTTAACATCACAGAACTCGCACCCCTTTTTTCTTGCTAAAGAACCTTAGGCGAGACCTCAGTCACAGATCATCAGTGTTTTCTTAAACCTCGAGTTGAGTTCGAGTCATATTGTATCAAAACTCACTCAGTTAGTCTACTCCTCTAAAGTACTTGAGATATGGACGGGTCACTTAGCATTGACACTTCATCCAACATGCAGTTTAAAGTGCCCAACACTGATTTGGATATATCGAATAATCCCTAATCTACCACACAATCGTCATACAAGTGACGCAGTTGTCCTCGTCATTTCCTGAGCATCAGACAAAGGAATAAGTCTTATAGAATCTTACCTCATTCATATCTTATGTTATCAAACAATAATTAAGGAGTTCTACTTGTGAGTTTATTAGAAGATTTCCCATACTAAACCCCTTGGTTTTATCCCTATAGGCTTATGGCCTAAATAGTCGCAATGGTATCGATACTCATCTTTGGGTATTAGTACTCCTCTCCTGTGGTATTGATACTTCCCCAAGTATTGGTACCAACAATGCATTTGATGTTTTGGAAATTATCTCAGTATCGATATACTCCTAAAAGTATCGACACTCTCCCACTTGGGTATCGATACCAAAATTGCTTTCTATATTTTAAAAAATACCTCGGTAATGATACCCCTATAGGGAGTATCAATACTCTACCCTCAGTATCGATACTCCCATGAATATTGATAGCAAAATTGGCTTCGATGTTTCTGATCAAGGTCACGAGTATCGATACCACTTGAGTAGTATCGATACTCCTTGATGGGGTATCGATACTCTCCTTATAAACCATTTGAATTTTACCCTTACACGACCGACAATATCAGTACTATTCTTACAACACCGATGCCCTTTGCCTAGAAAACTCTATTTTACTCGTCTAAAACCTTCAAAACCCCTCTCAATGGTGCTTAAATCTTATGTAGTATTTAAGGAACATGAAAGGTTTTTACTTTGAACAATAATAACAACAAATTCTAGTTTTCATGCTTAAACCCCCAAGTGCACACATATGGTTCATATACCCAAACATACATCAAAATAACGCAGCTGATCTACAAGGAGTAAAGAAAGGTTAGAAGTGTGCCACCTTGCACCTAGAGGCGGAAGAAATAACCCAAGGCTCAACCAACCACCTCTTACCCTTTCCCTTTGCTTTTGGAGCCTTCACCCACATCTCTCACTATAATAATCCATGGAAATGATTTATTAACTCATCTAAGGCCTTAATAAAGATAAGAGCATGGTTTCTAAACATTAAGACATGCTAGAATAACTTTAAGGCTCTTAAAACCCAAAACCCCCATTAAACCTCTTCAATGGCTTCTCTAACCAAATGTGGAGATGGAGGGCTTAAAACAAAGCTCTAAGAAAAGAGATTACTACCTTCTTGGATTCAGTAAGGAAATCCTTTCCTTCAAAGTTATCACATTGGTTTATGATGGAGAAGATAAGATAATGAGTTTGAAGAGATGAATAAGACAAAGATGAAGGGGACATGTTCCAACGTGTGACATAATCCCATTTGTTGGGATCAACCTTTACAAAACTTTTGGGGCAAATAGCAACTTTGGTCATTCCTATAATAACCTCAATTTAAGATACTCCCCTTTTTGTTCCCTAATGGGCTCAACCTAAGCCTAACCAATTCATACGTGGGCAATGACTTTTCACAAGCTTATATGGTTTGAATAATTCTATCTCGATTTAGCCCTAACTCCTAACCTGAGAATCGGGGCGTTACACCCTCTAAACAAACTTTATCCCAACTATTACTTTCTTAAGCATTTTGGCACTACACTTTTTAACATTTTTTTTTAATTTTTAATTAATTAAATCATTTAACACTTGACATCGTATGATTCATTATCTGTTTATAGATGTAGGCATCGACAATATATATATATATATATATATATATATATATATATCAAGGATTAGAATTCACTTATAAAAGCTATTTTTTTAGTTTTATACGTATTTTTGAATGTTAGATTAGTGAAAATAGAAGCTAGAGATTAGCTCTTTATTTGTTTTCCAGTGAATATCTTCTCATTTCATATTGTTAATCTCAATCGTTTGTTTACATTGATTCAACGATCTTAGATTTATGTAAAAATAAATAAAAGATTACACCGCATAATTTGAACCTTATTCATATATTAAATATAAATACTATTGTTAAACTTTAGAAACCAAATGCTGGTAGGTGCAGCCTGCATGTTGCCAGAGATTATCTCAAATCTCTTCACATGATCTATAAGAAAAACAATAATTAAATAATCAATATTTTTAACTAAACAAACAAGCGCTTAATGTCGCGTTTAATTTATAATTACATCCTTAACTTGTTTGTGCCAAATTAAGATTTCTTTGGTTTATATGTAAATATATATATCCATCCTAGTGCACCAAAAGACTAATTGAGTATTTTTGTTGTAATCTTAATTAATGATTCGCTTAATATATTACTTTATGCGATGCTTTTATGATAATTGAATGAGGAGTATCACAGGTTAGCTACCAGAAAGTAAGATAATTAGTTGCCTAACACATTAATTTACATCAATATTTACTTATTGCTTCGGGGCGCCATTGACAATTACTTTGGATCTGTCATTGGAAAGAAGAAATGGGACCAAAAATGAAAGATGGTGTTAGAGTTGATGACAGTGGCCAGTGGGCTACACGAATTTTTTTCTCAATCATTTTTAAAATAAGATATAAACTTAGGATTAGATATTTTTTGTTCACCATTCTCGTTTACCCTTTAGTACTGATCAATTAATGATGGAAAAAAAGGGGGAAAATTAAGATGATCATTATAAGGGACTCACTTCAATGCACTCCACAGTACAAAAACACATGATTTCAAAGCAAGGGGGGATGAAAGAAACAATAATTAAAAATCTGTAGCTAAAGAGAATCATCTTTCTATATTCTTTCATGGCCCATGAACCTGCACTGCAATTCACTTAGGAAACAAATATATAATTTTAAATTGGAAAATTCTTCTCTTGATTTCTAAGGCCACTTTTACTGAGCTTGAATCAATCGATATGATGCTGTTGTTGTTGATCGAACCATGGCCATAACCCGGTTTAATCCTCGGTGGTGCAGAACACGTCTTCTTTAACCATTTGGGGTGGCTGATGATGGTGATGGTGTCTTAAATTCGACAATGCGGCATGGAACAGTAGTGTTCTTGATCTGCTACTTGTTAGCGGGCTGTCGTTTGCCGATACTAATATATCCAACTTCACATCCGAGCTGTTCTTACTTCTGTTGCTGCTACAGCCTTGGGTTGCTTTGTTCAGGTTGATACATTCGCTTGCTTCTCTGCTTTTCAGTGCCATTATCTACATGCGCATTAATTAACTTATAAATAACTGAATATACATTGGATTAATCATAATAAATAGATTACCTCTGCGTGGAGCTTTTTGTTGTGAGCTTGAAGTGCATCATTATCAGCTTTGATCACTTGGTACTGTCTCTTAAGGAGATCATAATCTTTCTCCAGTTGTTTGGTTTTCCACCTAGCTCTCCTGTTCTGAAACCAAATAGCAATCTGTCTGGGTTGCAGTCCAAGAGCTCTAGCCAGCTGCATTTTTCTCTCGGGTTCCAGCCTGTTGCCCAACTCAAAGTTCTTCTCTAATGTCTTTACTTGTTCCATGTTAAGCCTCCTCTTCTTTTCTCCTGCCTGTGAACCATCATCTGATAGATCATCCCCCATGTTTGTTACTTCACACACATAGTTTCCTGGAAATGGAATTGACCTCTTCCCCAGAAACGATGCTACAGCTATGGTAATTAATCAACCAAGAAAACCAAAAACAGGAATCGAATTAAATTTCCCGTAGATTGAGATTTGATTCTTGAACTAGATCAGATGAAAGCAAAAAGATAAATTGAGTAGTACCATGAAAGTCCTGGGGAACTGTGTAAGAAGGGAGAATTTGATTGATAGAACCAGTGGAGCGTTGATGATATTCGTATTGGACTTGGAGAATGAAATTTGCTGGGGAAAAAGCCATCCCATTGCAAGACATGGGGCATGAAACTTCAACCCTTACCTTCTAGGAAGAAGCTATATTTTTCTTTTATACTATTTCTGTTCCTATTTTCTTCAAGTTCTTAGAGAAATAGATGTGTATGAATGATGACTCTTATTGTTTCATTTAGTCTCTTTATACAAAGATGGGTTTAGCTCGTTAGAAAAGAGGGACACATCAGTTTTATTTTATGAATTTTGAGTTAATTGCATCAAACACTCCTAAATTATGTTATTGATTTCAAATCATTTTCCGAATTTGAAAACATTCTGAATGAATCCTTAATGCATATCAAACACAAACCATATGCATGTAGTGGACAAAAGTGAGACTAGAAAAAGAAGGGCTGCAAACAGTGTTAATCCCGGTATTGTGGTGATTCCGATACAATTTCAATAATTCGAGGGTCATTTTCATGGTACTATCCTTTTTCCATACTTTAGATACAAATAGTGATGTTTCTTTTTCAATAAAATAGACTTGTCTTTAGACATAAATAAAAAATTTCAGATTGGGAGGCAACTTTCAAACATGCTTGATTGGTTTAGATAGTGTGTTCCGCTATAGCAATAGTGGCTAGATTATTGGTTTTCAGAAAGATCTCAGTATCATCATGTCTCTACAAGTTGAGTTGTAGAGTCTCTACATTGGTTTTCAAGTGACATTATTCCGTAGTTTTAAACGGCGGCAAGTACAACCAAATTGTGCTAAAGTCGGTTAAGTTAGACCTTGTCCTGAGTGTAGACTTTAACCTTCTCAAATCGGTAAAATTCATCTCTTTTATTTGAAATCAAGTTTGATTTACCATATTGTTTCTTTGGAACATGGTGGTTGACAGACTAGTTCCATTCTTCATCATTATCGAGTTTTTTTTTTTTTTTTTGATTATATACCGGTCAACATCCAACCGCTTATTTCAAAGGATATATCGAGACCTCTATATTGTATAACAAATTATTTTTAAATCATTGGCTTGACACCGTCTTCAAATTCAAAAGAATGTTGGATGAGAAAAGTTTAGGGTTTCTTGGAGGGGGAAAAGCGTGTGAAATATGTCATGTTTTACATGGTTGGTTAAAAAGGAAAAAGACAAAATGAGTTGGATATGCATATAAAGGAAGCGAAGAGGCAGGAATCTAAAGGATGGGGCCGACGTCGGAGGTTGCTACCTAACCCACTAACACCTATATATTTTAATTTACTACTACTATATATATATATTAGGGTAATTTATAATAATAACCACTTAACTATTTAATCTTTTTACTTTTATCACCGATCTTTTAATTTTATCAATCCAGCCACTTAATTATTTAATTGTATCCAATCAAACCACTTGCGTTAATATTTGATAAGTGGTGAGTTAATAAAATTCATATAATTATATATTTATAATTCTATCAACTTTAATATTAATTTTAAATTAATTCAATAAATTTAATCTCCTAATCAAAGTGTGACACATGTCACTTTAATTGGTGTCAAAATTGGTTTAAAAGCAGCTGGGTAGAAATCAAACCCAAGGCAAGGGGAAGGGTTTCACAAAACTTTACCATCAACCCAAAGCCCACAATTGTCAAATATTTACAATATAATTTAATAAACTTTATGACAGAAAAAACAAAATAAATGGGGAAAGAAGAGGTTAAATTAGTGGGATAATGCATGCGGGTTGATTTATTAGTTCAATAGGGCAACTTGTTTTTCATTTTGGGATATACGGCAAAAATTACAGTGTAGCTGGAACTTGTCATGTCGGCATGACGAATTTTATTGGATATAATTTTTTAATGGGCCATGAGACGTGAGTTCCAGAGGCCGAATATATTTAATATATTTCATGAGACTCGTCACGCGGGCATGACGAGTCCAAATAACAAATATATTTTTTGAATTTTAAAAAAACATTGTAAATATATATATATATATATATATATATATATATATATATAAATGGCCATGGAACTTGTCATTTCGGCGTGACGAATTCTAAAGGATAAAAGATTTGAAATTTTCAATCGTTGGGAGGACTATTAGCCAATTGTCAATTTTTTTAAAAATTCAATGGAACTCATCACATCGGTGTGATGAGTTCCAACAGCTATTTTCAATTTAAAAAAACTAGTTGTTTATAGTCGTTGGATAGAGTAGTATAAATAGAGGTTTGTGTTAGATTGATTTTTTCCTTGAAATCAAACATTCTATTCAGAGTAAAAACTTTTTTGTTGAAGATTTTGTGTTGAAATGGCCTCAAGAGAAGAAATGCTACGTCTTGATGATGTTCATATTTCGTCGACCGAGTTGACTACGGTAAATTTAATTTGTTTTATTTTATTTTACTTTGGAAAAATTATAATATTAATAATAAATATTTATATAATTTTATTAATCAATTTATTTTCAAATTGTAGCAAGAAGAATGAGGCATTCGTCATCGAGGAATGATGAAAGAAGAGCCACATCAGTGGATTGTGATATATCTTCAACAATCTGGATTATATCTAGCGATGTTTTTTGTGGTTTTAAGGTGATGTCGTCACTGATATTGGTGTTGATTGAGCATTGGAGGCCCGAAATGTATACGTTTCATTTTCCTTTTGGTGAAGTGACGATAACATTGGAAGATGTCGCATATCAACTTGGCGTTTCGATTAATGGTATGCCATTGGTGCTTTGCAACAATTATGCGCGAGATGCAGTTATTTATGATTTATTAGGAAATGAGGCTCTAGTCGATGTCATTGATGGGATACAGATACGAATGATGCGGTTGGAAATAGAATTTAGAGTAAATGGACAATCAACAAAGCAAGAGGTGAAATATGCAGCCCGAGCATATCTTATAACGTTGATTGGAGGGAACTTGCTATCGGATAAATCGATCAATTTGGTGCACACCCAATATCTTTTGGTATTGAACGATTTTCTTGTATGTCGCCAATATAGTTGGGGTTCTGCAATTTTAGCTTTTTTGTAACGTGAACTTTGCAAGGAGACCATAGTGGTTAGAGGGAAAAAAGTGGATGTAGCGGGTTGTTTAGTTTTGCTCCAATCATAGGTGTGGTATCGTCTCCCATTTTTTACGCCTATTACATCCAGTCCTATAGAGTTTCCTCTTGCCGCAAGTTAAATTCATATATTTAAAGTTTTGATATTTTATAATATTTATTTAAATATTTTGAAAATGACAATAAATAATGTAGTTGTTATTTTTTTTTTGTTTAGATGGCGACACCGAATAACCGATACAAAGTTGTCGGGTGCAACCAAAGTAGATATTCGAATGAGGATCGATATCACCGGTAGATATGTAGTAAATATTAATAATTTTTACATTAACATTGAAATTTGTAATAAAAATTCTTTAATTATACTAACATAAAACTTTTGACAGTTTAATTGGTTGTCGTATTGTGCGTCGGATATCCAACGGTGTCTACCGCCATTTTTCTTTAAAGGGGCAGAGACATGGTGTATTATAACACTATTGCTTCATTTCACAATTGTTGAGATTTATATCGCCAATAGAGTTTTGCGACAATTTGGGTTTCACCAACCGATGGAAATGTCCATATATAACATGGACGATTTCCATAAAATAGATGCACACGGGAAGCATACGGAAGATTGGCCGAAGAAGAATGCTATATTCATACAACAGTGGTATGAGAGGCATTTACATTTGCCTAATCGTTTCGAGGTTCAACCCAAAGATTTTGATTTCACAATTTCTTTTTACCACAAAAATTATAAAGCAAATGGGAAATCATACTTGACAACGCCGGAGGATCGGTCCGAATGAGAGGAAATGAAGGCAAAATATGCACACACAAAACCATCATTTTCATCAACATCTTCATTTTATGCTTCTGTCGATTATTATCTATCTCAAACAAGTTATGATGGATATGTTCCATATCAAGCATCTATGGAGAGTCGACCAGTGTGGGTAGGAAGTGCCTGGGATCAAGTGCTACCTTCACAACAATTTTTGGCACAAGAAATGGGAGAAAATAGTACATGAGATGATCTTCTTCAACATGGTCAATCTCGTAGTGATTTCGGTGTGCAATTTGAGTCGATGACGTCAATGATAGCGTCAAATACATTGGATACTCTATCATTTTCACCCAAAGGTGGAAATCAAAGTGGCGGAGTAATGTTTAGTACACCGGAACCGTAAGAAGACGAAAATGATGAATTTGGACGACCACAACAAAATCGATGAGCATCACTCCATCAATATGATGTTCCCTCTAGATGTATCTCATCGCCAAATGAAGAAAAAAAATTGAGAGAAAACTTGGAGCTTTTATTTCATGTTTAATTTATTGGCACATGATCTACTCAAATCCAATCACATATGGAATAGTCCACTTTGATGATGATGACGATGTCACTGTTATGGTTGGACTTTATCAATCGTCAAATAATAATATGGTCAAGATTTATGCTGAAACCATAATTACAACTGATATTTTGACCTCGTCAGTACCAGCACAACGAACAGAAGAAGCAGAACCCTCTAAACCATATCCAAGTATTATTAATGATAATAATGTTGGAAGGTTCGATGAACGACTTGCTGAATTTAGTGAGGATGATGAAGATATTGTTCCATTGCTGGAAGATGACAACACACAATTAGTTGACGATTCTAATGTTTTTTAGGCTACTTCAGAGGGACAAGGTTTGTATGTTGAGCCTGATGCGTGGCATGTAGCTATTTCACGATGCTAAGGATTGCAGAATGCTCCAAATGTTTGGGTACAAACACACCCTCAACCTGAAAGGCCTCACCATGATTTTCCTTGGTATCATCATCCAGTTGCAATGCATGACATTAACTACGATGCTATGTGAAATCCTGATATTTGTGATATGCTAGAGATATGTGTTGCCCACTGGAGTTCTTTAGTCGAATGATTATCTGAGTTGGCAATTGGGTCTCAATTTGAAACAAAAAAGAGGCACAACTAGCAATCAAAGAGTACTGCATTAAAGCTCATATT